CTGGGGCGACTCTAGTTTAAAAGTGAATGGTATTGTCGATGTTAATATATAACGACACTAAAAGTGACCATACATAATCTCTTTTGGTGGCTGGAGGTTATTAGTAGCTACGTGTGCGAGTTTAAGGAGTGATCAGTGTATAACAGTACTGAGTAACACTGACAGGCCAAGAGTAACGTCCCAGACAGGACTGATAGCTACTTCCTGTTTGACTTATTTGCCACTTACTTTGATTCCACACCCAGGCAACATAGCACGGTTGAACTGTTGCATGGCGCCACAGCATGAGACTCGTGTGCCTATCTTCTAAGAGCATAAAACTAGGCATTTTTTAAACATAGGATTACGATACGTAGAAAAGGAGGTAGTATACACAATATTTGGGCTTTGATCGAATTGTAGTCAGATTAGATAGATAAGGCTGACTCATTTATTGTGCAAGGTGAGTCCTTGTGGGCAAAAATGTGACAGTTCTTTCTCAGTACTCCTACAATATTTCTCAGATGTAATTATAGATACTGGAATAAGCAGGTCCTAATGAAACGAAAATGCTTCCTCTTTTAAAAACTCCATTTTAGGTTCCTGAAAATGTTGGCAATCTCAAGAACTCGACCATTTCCCCGCCAGAGAGTGAAATGCGAGTGCAAGCTGTAACAAAGACTACCGTTGAAGACCCTCCAGATGACAGCAGTGTAAGTTCAAGTAAAAATTCAACATTAATGATGGATGCAACCTCGCCTCCAGATGACGTCACAAAACATGCGTATCAGCGGTTGAAGGATATGCTTGAAGGTGTGCATGGTGACGCTGAAAATGCTGCTGACAAAAGAGAAACCATAGTTACTGTAGATTTGTGGGATTTTGCCGGACAGCACCTGTACTACGCTTCTCATCCTGTGTTCCTGTCATCACGAGCAGTGTATGTCCTGGTGCACAACCTTAGCAAGGCACTAGACGCCCCAGCCCAGCCCTGTGTTCGACAAGGAACACGTGATAAATTTTTGGAAAACCCAAACAACGAAACAAATCTGGAGAATCTGCTGTCATGGCTGGTAACAATCCACAGTATCAGACCAACAGGAGAGGAAATGGTTGGCAACTCAGGCGGCATGCTACCTTATCTCCGACCTCCAGTGTTCATTGTCGGCACACATGCTGATAAACCAGTTGAGGATATCGAGGCTACGACATCAAAGATACAGCAGGGAATTTCTGGTAAGGAATACGAGAAGCATGTTATCCGGCCATTCTTCAGCATTGACAACACTCTGGGCAAGAAATCCTTGTCACGCAAGATCAAGAAATTGTTTGCGAAGCATCCGCAAGAGGATAAACGTCGAGCAGGTAAATGATTTTGTTTTCCTGGACCACAGATTGAAATGAAGCATTTCAGCTTACTATGAACAGATAGGTTCTACAAGACTTTTAGCTATCACAAATTTAAGTCTGCATTTGATTTATTCATGAAATCCATCCATAAAGCAAACTGGTAAAACAAAGATCTCTTCAAATACTGGTCATGCCTGTCTTAGAACTGACGTTGTTTTGTATGGAGGGAGCAGTCTTAATACACCAGGAGTATGTATTGCGGTAAAGATAGCCTTGAAAAGATTTACATTGTTTACATCCTCTGCCTAAGATACCTCAAAAGGTTCTTGGTTGGGTGTTTGGTGTAGGGACCTTTAATTTTACAGTCTGTTTTATGGGAAAGTATCTTTGTTGGGCCATGCTCTCGAATTGTAGAGGAAATAAGCACAAATCAGCAAACGTGTAAAAAAAGACACATGTGATAAGAGCTCATCTGTAAAAACTTTCATTCTCCTAGGATTTGAACACGGACAACTTTGTTTAGGTGCTTGGTGTCTTGCTACCATTTGTAATTTGCAGGGCGAGGAAGTGACACTGATGTTGCTAGTGGTGATGGAATTCATGCTCTTCGAACCAAAATCATGGATGTTTTGAGACAGGAACCATACATGGGGGAGAAGATACCAGTCAAGTAAAGTGATATGAAAAGAGAAAGATATCTTCACACCTTTGCGATAACAGCAGTTGTACAAGAGGCCTGTAAAAAGGTTTTAATTTCTATGATCTCCCATTGAGACCTTTTTGGGTTTCTTTGCAACTTAGTTGCTTGTGAATGTCTCTTTCTTCTTTTATATTTCATTTATGCCCTTTCGTGCACTTCGTAGTTCTACACAGGGTAGTGTAGTAAATTTAGGGTCTGTCTGTCTACAGTCATTTTATCACATCAGCACAACTAGTGTTTCCATTTTTCCTCATTCTTTTCACTACTGTCCTTTGCACTGATCGTACTTTCTCGGTTAAACGCCGTGGCCTTCATTTCAAACTTGGCCTTGTACGTAGACCCGACATTCAGTTTTTGCTGCATTTTTTTAGCTTTGAGTTTATTAGCAAGGGATTTTGTTTATCATTTTGGACAGCCATATATTTAGCCATTATAGCTTAACCTAGTACTAGACCTCAAAAAAAAAAAATGCTAGAAGGACTTATTTACAACTCTATCTTAGAGAACCGACACTTAATATAGAAAATATGATACTATTCTTGGAAAGAGGTTTTGGAACGTATATACTTTAATGCAACTGCGTTCATTGAAATATCCAGGATATTATTTAGGCTACATAAGTGGAGAGAAGCAAGAAAATACCCTCCAATGAATTTATTAAAGAAGAAATGTGCGTTCTTATCGAGAAACTAAGATATTCTGACGAGCCATGTCTTACATTTGATTAAACTGAAAATTTCCATGAAGTATTACATGGGGATTTTTCAGGTACTTTCTTTCGAATTTTACAGGGAAAATATCCGAAAAAATCTTTCGATGGGAATTTCCATTTATATGTCATCTTGATAACATATAGCATTTCCCAAGATCGTTTCTAGTAAAATTTTCCTAGGAAACTATCAATTATCCCTTTCATGGAATCTTCGAAACCCATGTTTTGGAATGTCACCTTTTTTCTTCGGTTTAATAGGAGATTTGAATACAACATACACTTTATTACCAAACTATAAAAACTCTTGGTTTCAAAGAAAGATAATTGAAACAGAAAATTAGTTAAATTCACTCATAATAACTAAAAGCTAAGTGAAATGAAATAGTATTAATTATTTTATATGAAGAAGTTGGTTGGCATTATAACTTCAGGGGGGTGGGAGGGGGGCAGCAAGGAGACAAAATAAGGGAAAATGAAAAATATAAATAAATAAGTAAGCGGCGGGAACAAATCACTAAAATCACTATATACCTAGGAATAAAGTAAATTAGCAATAAATAAGTGACTGGTAAGTTTCAGGTAAATGTTGGCAATATGGTTGTAAGATGTTATATTTAACTTTGTTTTTAAAAATTGTAAGGGGGAGATGTTTAATACTTGAATACTGTTTTAAGCTGATTAGTTATTTTGTTT